GCCGCTGCGAAGGGAGAGGATGCTGAGAATGAAGCTGATGCGGGTGACAACGGAGATACCCCGGAGGACGATACTAAGCCGGATGGTAAGGGAAAGAAACCAAGAAAACTGGTGGAGGATGAGAAGCGAGAGACGGGAAGCGTGAAGTGGGCAATCTACAATACCTATCTCAAGGCATCGTACGTGCCTTTACCCACCGTGTATGCCCAGGTCGCTGACTATCTCCATCAGGTCTTACTGGACGTGGGTTATTTTGCTTGCTCTGATTGTCCTGACGCAAGTGAGGTTGTACTGCTGTCGCTTTGTTCGTGTTCTGACCGGCTGTACAGGTTCTTGGAGTTGGTGAGAAAGTGTGGATCAAGGTGAAGCCTAACGCAATTCATCATTACAATGCTCTTACATTCGATTCTGCAGATCTGGGGCGAAGCCTACGGTGATGTTGAAAGTCAACCCTCCTTAATACACGCTTTTAACTCGTTTGCCACCTCGGAGCATGAAATTGTTATGGATGACACGTTATCACACTTCCATGCCATGCACAGGGCTCACGCTCCTCCCTCATTTGTTAGTCCCCTAGGTGCAAGCTTGCCAGCGGCACACTCTCATCCATTCTTCTATATCGGCGTTTATGCTGCAATCGCACTTTCCGCTGGCTTGGTTAATATCTGTGGGGTTATCACACAATATACAGGGGCATTAAGAGCTTCTCGCACCCTCTTCCGGCGTCTTTTGACTACCGTTGTCCGAGCCACCATGCGCTGGCACGATGTAACCCCTCAAGGTGTGTATTCCTGATCTGACGGTTGCAATGATCTGACATGACAGCGTTTGAATAGGGCGCATGCTGAACCGCTTCAGCAAGGTAACGTTATGATGTAGACTAACAGAAACATTCACTAATAGGTCATTACAGGATGTCGAGACCGTTGACTCGTCCTTGGCAAGCTCTCTCCAGGCAGTGAATACTGCTCTGGCAAACTTCGCGGCGTCCGTGTTGACCATCGTGTAAGTTCACTATCTTTACTATGGAAGGTCATTCATTGAATGGTCTGCATAGTGTGGTGTTCCCTCTTTTTATCGTGCCAGCTTCAGTCATCGGATATTTCTACCGTCTCGCAGCTATTGGCTATTTGAATACCGGTCGTGATATTCGTCGCATGGAGTCGAACTCTAGGAGCCCGATCTTTGCCAATTTCAATGAGCTATTGGAAGGAATCGTTACTGTTCGCGCGTTCTCCGCTGAACAAAGCTTTCTGAATGACCTCTATGCCAAGGTTGATCTCACAACTCAGGTATGCACGTTGTTCCGCCCACTAGGACACCTTAGGCTGATCATTGTATTAGATGTGGTACACGTTCTGGATGACTAACAGATGGCTATTACTCTATTTTGACACTTTGGGCGCTGTTGGTGTCCTTGCCACGACGCTTTTTGCCCTTGCGGGATACGTCAAGGCCGGTACTGCTGGTGTCTGCATAACATCCGCAATGGCTTTCACTACAAGTGTGTACTGGGCTTGCCGCTTCTGGACTGCTCTAGAATTAGACCTCAAGTATGATATTGTCTCCATTGTGACGTCTCGGTACGCTGACAGCTGACATCGCCTTACAGTTCCGTTGAGCGTGTTGTGGAGTACTTAGATCTTCCCCAAGAGGCTCCAGCACTCATTGAATCCAGCCGGCCGCCTGCTTACTGGCCATCCTCCACTGGTCCCAATCAAGATTCACTTATCAGCGTCGAGCATCTGGCTATTAAATACGCTCCGGAGCTTCCTGCGGTGTTGCGGGATGTCTCATTTGACCTTAAGGCCAAGGAACGAGTAGGGCTACTGGGCCGAACTGGAAGTGGAAAATCGACACTTGCTATGAGTATCCTGCGCTTCGTGAGTCGTCAGTATGTGAATCGATCTCAATGTCACTCATATCTGGGAGCTAGGTTGACCCAACCGACGGCAAAATTCTGATAGATGGAATAGACATTTCCACCATCGGATTGCATGATCTGCGTTCTAGGATCGTGAGTTTTATTTCATTTGCAACTGTTTGATCGTGAATTGACCATGTTCTCTTCTCAGACCTTCATTCCTCAGGTTAGTAACGTTGTAGATTGCGTGTCTTATTTCGCTCATTGAACACAGGACGCGACGCTATTCTCTGGGACATTGCGTGATAATTTGGACCCATTCGGTAATTCTTTGTTCATTAGCTATCATGACGATTATTCACAATATGTGCGAATAGGCGAGCATGAAGACAGTGAATGTCTCGATGTTCTCCATCGTGTCCAAATGATGACAGACAGTCAATTGGCTTCTCAGAGGACATCACGCATGCCTTCGAGAGCTGCCTCCATGCATGAAGGTCGAGAGGGAACAATTGCATCTGTTTCCACGGCAGCAACCGAGACCGATACGAAGACCATGATTTCGCTTGATACTCAGGTATCGCCAGGTGGTTCGAATTTCTCTCAAGGCCAGCGACAACTGATCGCTATGGCCCGCGCCCTGCTACGGAGGAGCTCGATTATTGTGTTGGATGAAGCTACAAGCAGCATCGATTTTGCAACTGACGCGAAGATACAGGCAACTATCCGGGAAGAGTTCAATGATTCCTTGCTGCTTACGGGTATACCTTTTTCCTTCTTTTCTTTCTTCGGTCAATGCTGACGTGTTTTGGTGCCAGTTGCTCATCGGCTCCGAACCGTCATTGACTACGATCGCCTGATTGTCTTGGATAAAGGGGAGCTTGTGGAATTTGATACTCCACTGAACCTGATTCAGAAAGAGGATGGAATCTTTCGCAACATGTGTCTGAAGAGCGGGACATTTGCGGAATTGGAGGCCGCCGCGAAAGCCAAAGCAGAACGGGATAGTTTGTAGGTATTGGTCCCCTCGTCTCCTGTTGGTCGCTGTTCTCTGCGCATGTAAAAAAAAGGCCTGTCTCGTCATGGTCTCTATGATTGTATCGCTGTACATCTTAGCGGTCGCATTTCGGAATACTATTGGTTTTTTGGGTTGAGGAACTTGTGCTGCTCCAGTCATAGGCCACAGTGCACAGTGTCAGTACCTATATTCAGTCCTAGGCCAGTTCGATTAAGTTCAGGTATGGTCTTGAGGAAATATATACAGTGTCGGCACAGTATTGAAGTGATCTGTGCATGGTCCGGGGACTCACGGCGAAATATACGGGCACTACTCGAGGTATTTTCCGGCATTCTACTAGTGCAGTAACCCGGGCCAACACTGAGTCGGTGAGCGGTGTCGCAGAGGCTATTGGTCAATGGTAACCAGCGAGACCGATATATGAAAAACCCCATCATATGCATGGGTGAAACAGATTAGCAGAGACGAGTTGCAACCTTACTTCGAAGGATACATATCCCATACATGATCACAAATCTCAGATAATTGGTATCACCTAGACCCGCAAACCCATAATCCATGAGCTTCGACATATCAAATGATATCCCGCCAAGCTCTCTTCCATCGACGATAATCGCTCCAGTCCGATCCTCGAGAACAGATGAGTGTACTGAGTCTCCGCTCATTTTTGTCTACACTAGTTGGGATCATGTCAAATCTACATGCCTACCTGAAAATAGGAGCGATGGAGATTGAATGGCGGTAGTATGAAGGTTCACAGATGCGATGCCACAAGTGGTCGAGAGGTCCTACAGTATGCTAGTGTCTGGTACGCTGCAATGAGTTGGATCTTTGATATACGGGCACGGATCTGCTTCACAATCATGATGATCGATATTGTTGCCATCCAGTATTCACTATTGGGTGTTGTTGTGAGTCTTTCCGGTGTGGGATTTGTTGCCGAAGTACAAGATCCATTGCATGCGAGACCAGGGGTTGCAATGCCCGTCACTTACGCAGTTGGGGGCTAACACTGTCTGGTGAGCTGGATCAAAATGAGAGGGGACGACTAAAGAGTACTATCAATGCATCTGCATTGCCCAGTATTTCTCTGATTAGATATTACAATCACATACCTTCGTACTGTATCAGAAGACCGTCGCTGTCACGCCCGAGCACTACAGCGTCCACCCAGAACCCCGACACGGGACTACGATGATTAAAATTCCTATTGTATTCCAATGTGTGTCCAGAGTCAAGGCTTGGATCGGATCTGTGATTGTCAAATATGACGGCACACAGAAAGCTGCACAAGGGAAGAATGACCGTATTCACAAAGCTTACGGGAGGGTCTCGAGTCACCAATCATACACCAGCCTGAGAGGCTCAAATTTTTCCGAGACATTGCTCCCGGGGTGGCAGATACAATGGAAGTGATATCCCTTTTAAGCCAATTCTGATAGTTTAGACCAAGGAATGCGTTAGGTCCGTGTTAGACCAAATGATGGAAAAATCGATGGAGAAAGATTCCTGTAGGACTCTAAAGGGTATGTACCCATGGATACGACCCGACCTTCGCATATGTGATCTCTGGAACAAAGTACATGCAAAAACAAAATTGTCTATAACGATGAAGGGACATACAGCGGCCGTAATTCGGAAACATCAACTTCTATCTATTCTGCAAAGGTAGCTGTGCCCGTCGAAAGGAAGACCACTGTCGGTAAGTTTCGAGATTTGTTGAAATAGATGATCGGTCATGTAGGACACCTGCGATGTCGGACTGCGATGTCGACTGAGAAGGGGCAGTCACGTGCCTATGTCGGCCGGGAATCCGAGGCCGTCCGGGTTCCGGAGAGTGCTCTCTCACCAGCTCACTCATCCTCGCACCACCAACTTGACGCGTTAGACTCCCGCGTCCTACCCTTAACACCTAAGTATGCTACGATTGCCCAGAACCTCACAACGGGTACGTTACTATGTTATGTCGCCGTCATGAAGCTCACTAGCGGCTAGCTCATTTTACGGAGTTCACGCCGTGCTGCTGCACTCCCGGTCAGAAATTGGACACCTTTGCGAGGTCTTGCAACGCCCTCTGAACCCTATGACGCTGTTGTGATTGGCTCGGGTAAGATACAAAGCTTGGGTATATACTTTCACGGACTCATAGGTTTCGTAGGACCTGGTGGTTACGTAGCTGCAATCAAGGCGGCACAACTAGGCCTCAAGGTACATTTATCATCAGCTGTGCTTCGTTATAGCTGATGGCCATCTTAGACTGCATGCATTGAGAAACGAGACACCCTCGGCGGTACTTGTCTAAACGTTGGATGTATTCCCTCTAAAGCTATGCTCAACAACTCGCATATGTATCACCAAACTCAGCATGATTTGAAGAGACGTGGCATTGATGGTAATTCCTTTTTGTGTTTTCATGACATGTATGCTAATTGCTACGCCCTCAGTTTCCGACGTCGCTCTGAATCTTCCTCAGATGCTCAAGGCGAAGGAGGAGGCAGTTTTTGGACTAACGCGTGGTATTGAGACACTCTTCAAAATGAACAAGGTCGATTGGATCAAGGGCTCTGCATCTTTTGTTTCTCCGACTCGACTCAGCGTTCAGCTCAATGACGGCTCGCAGACTGAAATTGAAGCGAAGAACGTCATCATCGCAACAGGGTCAGAGGTGGCTCCCTTCCCTGGCGGCGGTATCCAAATCGACGAGGAACAGATTGTATCTTCGACTGGGGCACTGGCATTGCAGAAGGTTCCCGAGAAGATGGTTATCATCGGCGGTGGTATCATTGGTCTTGAGATGGGCAGTGTTTGGAGTCGGCTCGGTGCACAAGTTACCGTAGTCGAGTTCTTGGGAGGCATTGGGGGCGCAGGTATTGATGAAGAGATCGCGTAAGTGTTGTTCGGCATCCCAACGATTCCTCTTTGATCCGTTTTATGCGATAGAAAACAGTTCCAGCGTATTCTTACCAAGCAGGGTATGAAGTTCATGCTCAACACCAAGGTCCTCAGTGCCGAGAAGAGAGATGGTAAGGTGCATGTCAAGACGGAGGCGGCGAAGGGGGGTCAAGAGACTACAGTGAGCATTCTTACACGCCATGTCTGCACTGCACTCATTTGTATTGCTAGCTCGATGCGGATGTTGTCCTGGTTTCTGTCGGTCGTGTACCGGTTACTCAAGGACTGGGTCTTGAAAACATTGGAGTTGAGGTCGATTCCAAAGGCCGCATTGTTATTGACGACCAGTTCAACACCTCAGTACAAGGTGTCAAGTGCATTGGAGACGTCACGTTCGGGCCTATGCTTGCGCACAAGGCGGAAGAGGAGGGCATTGCTGCAGTCGAGTACATCAAGACCGGGCACGGACATGTCAACTATCACGCCATTCCTTCTGTTGTTTACACACATCCCGAGGTTGCATGGGTCGGTAAGACAGAGCAAGAACTCAAGAAGGCCGGAATAGAGTACAAGGTCGGCAAATTCCCCTTCCAAGCTAACTCGCGTGCAAAGACCAACTTCGACACGGAGGGCCAAGTCAAGTTCATTGCGGAGAAGGAGACAGACCGCATTCTGGGTGTTCATATCATTGGTGTGTATAGGCGTCTTTTCCTTGGCTTTTGATTCTCAGTGCACATCTTAGGTCCCAATGCTGGCGAGATGATTGGTGAGGCGACGCTGGCACTTGAGTATGGTGCAAGCTCAGAAGACGTGGCAAGGACGACGCATGCTCACGTACGTTGTATGTGTTTTACTATGTCGATCCTCTGTAACATATCTCTCGTACAGCCTACGCTGAGTGAAGCATTCAAGGAGGCGGCAATGGCGGCGTACCAGAAACCAATCCACTGCTAGGGCCCTTGTCACGGTTCTATGGTGACATCGTTAGTGTAGCGCAGATGCGATTTATGAATATAATGCCCTAGTTCAATACATTGTCTATTTTCTGCTTGTGTCTATATTTCAAGGGGAGTATATTCGAAAAAAAAAAACATAGGGTCTCGACCTCGCGATAAGTATTCTTACTCTTTGTGAGGCTCCTGTAGTGGTCACAGTGCTATTAAAGTGCAGGCGGCGCTCAGTCATGACCATCCTCATCGGACGCTTCGGCCTCTTCTTCTAATGCGGCTTCGGCTTCGGCTTGCGCTTGCGCCGCCAACGCAGCCTGTGCGATTGCTTGCTCGAGGAGTCTAGTTTGTTCTTCGGATAAAGACAACGATAGCGACAGCTGTGGTGAAGACACGTCCGGAGGCTGGGCTGCCTCAGCAGATTGGTACACAGAAGGTGTCTGCGGCTGCACGGACACAGAACGCGACTGTGGCTGAGTATACTGAGTCCGTGCGATGATACTAGCCAGTGTTGCCGTGCTGGGATCGGAGACACCGGCTTGGCCTTCAGAGGCGGAAGTGGTACCCAATAGCTTTGCAACGTATACTTGGAGCAAGCCATGCAGCTGCAAAACAATAGAATGCGCTTCGCCAACAACGCCAAATTCAACCTCCCCCTCCTCTGGCGGAAACTCGTCGCCAGATGCATTGACATGGCCTGGTGGGGCGCTGCCCATGTGGTTCGTAGTAATGTCGTTCCACAGCTTGGCCCTCCGACTTGCTTCCTCGTCTCCTTGAGGCTTCTCGACCTCGACCTCTTCGATCTCGGCATATGCACAGGCGTTATCCCCTAGCTCGATCTCCCCGTTCTTGCCCTTGCCTCCGATTCGCCCTCGACTGTCTTTATGCCTTTTGATCGCGTCGCGTCGCGAGAAAACCTTACTACATCCACTACACCGCCACGCCTGCTTGTCGTGGAGCTTCGTGTGGCGCTTCAGATCGTGGTTGCGCACAAAAGACGCAGGACACTGCGTGCAGCGATATGGGCGCTCAACAAAGGAGTGCAAACGCTGATGAGCACGGAGGGAGTACAGCCTGTGGAAGACTTTCGCGCAGGTCGGTATGAGACAAGGATATACGGCAGTACCTAGATCGGGCGTGGATGGCGCTCCATATGGGTGGCCCCATGGCGAATGGGGGTGAGAGAGGGGCGCTGACGGGTTCGAACCAATAGGAATCCCGCTGAGCACACCGAGCATCTGTATGAGGCCAGCGAGCTCTTGCAGGGCGGGCATCCGCTCTCCTGCCCGCGGTGCCGAGGTGACAGCGAAAAGAAAGACCTGGTGAAGTTGTACATGGATAGACGAGATCAAGGCAGGATCGAGGTGCGGCGATGCGGGCCCTGAGGGGACAGTGGCGAGTGCATTTGTGATGACCCGAACGGCTTCTGAGATGAGGAATCTCAGGTCGGGATAATCGTACGCAAACCGTTTGTATCCGCGACTATCCGAGTAATCATGGGCAACCTCATCTGCGGCATCTCTCTTCCTCTTTCCCTTATCAAGTTGAAGTGCAGGAGCATCTGAATTACGGAGCGATGCAAAAAGTATGTCAGACTTTGCCAATAAAACGACAGCATCACTGAGAGGTCTTGCGAGCTTCTTCGGCACAGCTTCAGATGATATGCACCGCTGGAAAATGGTTAGAATATTCGCGTTTTCTGCGGCGGGCACCAGGAAGGCAGCGAGTGAATCGTGGACGAGAGCTCGTTTTGAGGCGATAGACATAATAGCTTTCATGGTAGATAGAGCGGCCTCGTACCTTCGCTTGCGGGCAGTCGAGGTACTATCCGTGTTCCCTTTGTCCTTCTCCAGAGTAGGCCTGGGTTGATGAGCCGCTGCAGCTTCGAGCTGAGCCTTGGCTATATCAGCCTGAAGCTGCTCTTTCAATATGCGAGCCATCTCCTCAGCTTCGGCTTCCAAGTCATCCCCGTCGGCATAATCATCTTCATAGTCTTCCTCGCCATCGTCTCCGAATTCTTCGTCTTCTGTGGCGCCCCCTTGCGAGACGGTCCCTCCAGGAACATCAGCAGGAATAGATAAATGGAGGACCCCGCTCATTTCACAGCAGTAGGATAAAACATAAGAGGTGATTCAGCGAAACTGTCGCGATGATCAAATCGTGGAGGCCAGATGTTTCCAAATGCGGAAACATCATATCTTATCACAAATCGCACAACCCGCACAACCCTCATCTTGCACTGATCCAACTTGCCAAAATCTGATCTGCGAGACACTTCTGTACTTACGTCTCGACCAATTTTATTGTGGGTTTGGTCTGTCGCTAAATGTGCTAAACTTGTTTTTAGTGACGGTGCTCCCACTATACCAAGAATAGTGTCAACAACTTCTGCGAAATATCCCAGGCTCACGGGAAGCACTACATGCAGATGACCTTTCTCTGGATTCTCGACAGGAGCGCACGTACACTCTGGCTTTATCATTCATATCATTTGACAGAGCTATAGAAGACCTCCCAAGGGATGTTCCGCCTGTGAAAGCGCTCTATCTTACTTATAAAGTCGGCATTGCACATTCGAACTCAACTCAAAACTCTTCTGCCACGAACGTTGCTCATCGACTCTGGCCTCGCATCAGAATGGCCATTAAACTCTATGGATTCGGCCCCTCACATTGCACAAGACGTGTCGCTCTCATCCTGAAAGAAATGAACGTACCCTACGAGCTGGTCTCAGTCGACATGCTGAAGAACGAGCACAAAGCCTCATCTTTTGTCGAGAAACAACCGTTTGGTCAGGTACCATACATTGACGACGATGGATTCCAGCTCTTCGAAAGCCGCGCGATCGCTCGTTACATTGTTACCAAATACGCCTCGCAGGGCCCGTCTCTCCTGCCCGATCCCGCTGATGTGCAAAAGTCTGCGCGGTTCGAGCAGGCAGCCAGCATCGAGTTGAGCAATTTTGACCCGTATATGAATGCGCTTGCTTGGGAGGTCATCTTCAAGAAGTAAGTCGAACCCTTTACACCGCGCTCTCGGTCCTCATGGAATCAACAGATACGCAGGTGGTTCCACAGACGAGGCCGTCGTAGCGAATCTTGTCCAGACACTGAATGGCAAGGTAGATGCATACGAGCTGTTATTATCCAAATCGCGTTATCTCGCCGGTGATGTGGGTCCCCCGTTCCCATGTATAGATTAGCACCGTCTGATATTCCTTGACTGCAGGAAGTCACACTTGCCGATTTATATCATCTTCCCTTCGGCAGCACCCTTGGACTTATGGGGTACGATCTGCTCCTCAATCCATCGAGGCCTAACGTAGCGCGGTAAATATATCCACAATTCCGATGTTGATATACCTTACACCTTATTCTAGATGGTGGAAGGACATTAGCTCGCGTCCGGCGTGGCTGGCTGTCAAGGATTCTGCTTAGTTCAATGTGCGATAGCCCCTTGTAAATCAAAGGAGAAATTGTATTGCCCACTTGATAATTGCATGCGTAGTTGTTTGTCGAAAACCTTTCACGCGTCTACCCAGCAGTGATTACACATTGAGCTGGCTTTGCCAATTGGATCATTGACGTTAGCCGATGTTCGTACTGAGATAGTTATGCTGGCTAAGCTACATGATACATTTATTGGTGCTCTGTACTGACAAAAAATGTCCTTCGTTCACATTTATTAAACAGTTGACCCAAAGTCAACGCGACTTGGCTCTCGCGGTTCTGGTGTCTCGGATCAGCTAGCGGGATTTGCCGAATCTGACCACTCTCCTCCGTCACCATCCTCATACTTGACTGTACTTCGACTTACGTCCAATGTTACGCTTATTAACGGTAAGTTGTCGAATTACCGTTGACCATACCAATACGAATGAACATGCAGCATCGGAGGACAGTTTTCCTTGCCGCTGCCGCAGTGACGGTTCACGAGACGTCCAGGGAGAAGGTCAATTCATTCCTTGCAGTTAGTTTCATTTTTTGCTTACGCATTTATTTACAGCTACCCATCTACCCAGCCCCGAATACTGATATTCTTCTTCTTGATACACCGTCCGAGCTTGAGAAACAAATTGGGGTTGCACGACGAGCAGTAACAGCGACCTACGACGATGCGCGTGGTCAGGTTCAAGGCGTCATCTCAAGGTGGATCAACGTAGAGCAGGCCGTTGAACGTGTGTATGAGCCATTATCAACATCGTCCCGCCGTACTGACATCTTGTATTTCGTCACCGCATATAGAGAGGCTCAAATCGCTTGTCGCGCCCGATGAACCGCTGACTCCGGGATTGCTCTATGTTGGCGTAGCGACTCTCACAGGCTCTATATTCGCACGGAATCGCATTCTCGCTGCACGAATCTTCCTTCCCCCAACACTACTAGTTCTTTCGTTCAACCATTTCCTCCCCAAGACGGCTACTAATATTCAGGGATACCTCGGTTCGCTGGAAGACACCTACTTCCCGACGCTTGCAGAAAAGCACGAGATTGCTAACCAGCACAGCGCGATGACATGGGAGCGCATCAAAGATGCCACGTCGAATGGTCGGGAGACACTAGCAAGTAGCGTCGAGAGCGCGATCGTCCGTTTGGAGGATGTGACAGGGCTGAAGCTGAAGGAAACCCTTGGCTGGGGTCAGGGTGTTGTGAGAGCTGCGGAATCTCAGACGAAGGGTGCTGTTCAAGTTGTTCAGCAAGAGGCAAATGCGCTGACGGGTGTTGTTGCTCATGCGGTCGAAGAGGTCAAGGAGGGGGTTGTGGCGGAGACTTCCCCTATTGTGGAGACAAAAGTAGACGAGAGTCCCAAACGATTAGTATGATATTGGACCAGCCTCCCGTATTAATAGTGGACTGCTTCCATTAGGTTAGCACCGAGCTGCAGCGCCCATTTTCAGATATAATCCTATTCGCCCAGCTTTTTCTCTGCCTCTTCTACCGCCTTCGCCAGCTCCTCGCCAGTGGCCTCACTCATCCAGTCAACGTCCTGTCCGTGTCCTCCCAAGCCGTCGAACCGCCTGTTGAATCTACCCAAACGCCCAGTGACCACGTCTTCCTCCTCGCTCTCTGCCATCCATTTGCTCGCGTTCCACAGTGGGTTGTTTGTCGTGTCGCGTGTGAGTCGAATTACCGACCGAGGCGACGTGGTATAGTGCGTAAAGGTTGAGCCGTCTGCTCTGATGACACGCTGCGGAAATTGCGGGACAAAAGGTTTGGGAAGTTGTCGTTGTCGATGTTTCCATACGTGAGTACGTCCGTAAGGCGAAGAAGACACGTTTCGTGTCTGGGCAACTGCAGAGGCACGAGCGGAGGCAGCCACGAGCGACGGAGAATTGAGTCTGCCTGCCAGATGAGGGACGCTCGCGGCGAACATTGTCATGGCGATTAACAACGAGATGACGAGACAGCCAACGTCGGTAGTGGCAGTGAATGACCGAGAGGGTGGCAGAAGGATGGAGGTGCGCGCTTTCGTGTACAGCTATTTGCTTTCCACTCTTTGCGCGCCTGCGCTCTTTTGGTCTCATCCTCCACCTAATTATTCTCCGGCTCTCTCGAGGTCATGAACCTCTCCAACGAGCTAAAGGAATCCCTTGATTGTTGCTTGCAGAGTGCTTGGAAAAACTCAAGCCTATCCGAATCATCCGGCGCCGCAGTCCGTGGAACGCCTGGCAACAGCAGCCAATGGAACAGAACTATCAAGCAATGAAGTTTCTTTCTGGCCTGAGTTAAGGTAGAGTGACTGAACAATGATATGCTTTCATGCTCTCCTTGAAAGCTTTAATTGTTCGGGAGGGTTAGGTTAGCCACCGGCAATCTTCTGCAGCAATCCGTGGACCGAGTTCTCGAGTTTGCGAAGGAGAGACGATCCAGAAACAATTGCAAAGCAGTGCGTGATTTTCATCCCCTCGTTGAGTTACATCTTCCTCAACTCGCTAGTCAAAGTCGCAATGCCCCCAATGAGAATGGATGACATGGGCCGATGGGTTTCAACTCGGCCCTGTGTGAGGTCGAGAAACTGGATCTTCCGCTATACTCCCCCTCCACTTGGCATCATGTTTCATGGCACCATTTCACTATTGGCGGTTATGATTGTTCTGACGTCTCTCTACATGCTCCCCACGTCTTTCTAGTCCCGATTGCTTCTTCCTGGCGATGAACATGATTCATCGTCGTGATCGGACGCAATATTGACAAGTGCTGCTGAATGACCGCTTCGAATCGTTGGACTGCCTCAGCCCCAAGAATTCAAGATGATCAACTCACGCTTAAAGCCGCCCTCAGCTGACTACGACTCCTTTTTTGTGGATAACAATAGTGAAATTTTTGTACTGAGCATGCCCAACGTAGCCTTGAGAAACAAGGTAAATCAAGCTCTTGCGGAGTCATCCAGGATGCTCTCAATCCTGGGGCTTGGCAATATTTCGGGCCAGGGCAATTATGATGTGCTGATAGGAGCACTGACGGATGTGTTGAGGAAGTGAGCTGATGCATGGTTACTTCCAGTATGGCTATCTCCACTTGGATGTAGGAAGCAACAGAGACATTCGTAGAACGTTACGCCCAGTCTGTAGAGTATCAACGCAACATACGAAATCAGTTGCAACAGAATACCGATGAGATGCTGAGACTGTTCTTTCTCGAAAGTTGAGTGTTCATCACACAACACAGAGATGCCTTGGTATACTTCCTACACCACACGCACTTTCAGCATGGTAGTCACTGGTGAGCCGCTGTCCATGCGCAATCTTATCTGGGTATACTAAGTTGTGTAGATGGTGACTTTCAAGTCTGATGGTTCAACAAGCAGAGAATTTTATAATCCTTACAAGCCAACTTTATCAAGGACCTTTGCTTTCCCAACCATCTAGGTTGTATAAGGCCATGATGTAATTGATGCTTGTGATAATGCAACATTGTTTGGACTCCCTAGATGTTAGCAACCCAGACCTGCTGAGCTCATTGCTTGAGGAGGATTGCTTGAGGAGGTGAATAAGGAACTTAAAGGTATGAATGGTATGCCATAGTACCATGACATACCTTTCTTTTTGGGTATGACATGCATTACATAAGCAATGGAAGCCCCCATGGCATACTCAAAACATAGCCCCATATCCTCCTGTACCAGGGTGATCAAGGCATTTGCCTTATTGCCATGTCTCATCCTTGCCTCTGCTCTGTGTGAACCTTTGTCCCACAGCATGTGTTGCAGATTCAAGTCCCCTGCTATCACAGCAATATGTGGCAAGGCCATAATATGGCTATAGAGATAATCCACTGCCATGAAAGTTTTGCTATCATTATATACACATAGCAGATAGAGTGCCCCTCTCCTCATGCCCAGTGTTACAGCTTCATGAGGGAGGGGGTTTCTTTTCTTTGCATAACTATTCGTCGTTGACCCTGTAACTGTATGATCGATCCCATCACTTGA